CACATGTGTGTGCAGTACCCCTTCATGTGTTGATAGTATTTTGAATAGCTGCACTTAAAATAATGAGGACATACTAGTGTGTTTATTTCTTGTGCTTCCATTTAGTCTTTCAGCTGATTCTTGTTGCTTTTATCCAAGTTCCTTTCAAACACATGCAATATCATTGCTTAGCTTTCTGATTAGGGATGATGCTTAATTCTCATCAGATAAAAACCTCCAGGGAATAAAGTGATTCTGGTAAATTTTTCCGCTGGTCTGTGCAGTCAGCAGGGAATTTGTTTGTGTTGATGATGCATTTCTCACCCTCCAGATTAGCTGTTACACTTGTTAGTCTGAAGGCTGTTGATTCAACACAATTTAAGAGCACTCAGAAAGGTCAGGTGACCTTTTAAAACTGTCTGTAAGCTCCCTTCCAGCTCAGCCATCCTGAGACAGGAATGCCAGGGGTTCAGCAGGATGGATCTCTCCTCCTCCCCATTCCCTCAAAGGCTGTGGGCAGCAAATGCCAGCTGAACACCTGCAATAGTGACAGGGCTGAGATGGGTCCCTCTGGGATAATCGGGAATTTCTTCTGGGAGTGCCAGCAGTCCCAGCTCATGGGTAAATGGCAACCTGCTGTGTGATACAGAAACTGAAGGAAGGTCACTTTTTAAAGATTAACCAGTCCTGGTGGAAAACCCCAAACAAACCCCCAAATCCTGACCAACCTTCAGCCAAACTTTCAAGCACACAAATCTCATTTTCAGAGCATTGCCTTGCCCGAGTCTTTGTGTCACCAGGGCTACAACAATACTGCCACAGGAGAAGTTGGGTGAGCTAAGAATAGCAGATTTCCTTGAGAAATGCTTTTGTTTATTTTGGTTTTCTATTTTTAAATAGTTGGAGCCTCAGCGACCTTTTTCTGAGGGGTCCTAGAAGAATTGCCTGGTCACAGAGTATTGTTGTAGTAAGGAGGGCAGTTGTGAACTGCCTTAATTCTCTGGCTTCTTCCTTGTGACCTGCAAGGTTTTGCTGGCAAAATAATGGAAAAAAAAACCAAAAAGAAGTTGTCACCCCACTGAACTTGTAGCGGGTACCAGTGCCAGGAATGGAAACCCAAGATTCTGGCTTGGTAGAATGATGCCCATCTTAGAAGATATATTTTTTGCAAAGATTTGTCTGCTGGAAAACTGCAGTTCAGGATTTTATTTTATTTTTTTTTTTTTTGGGAGGGATTGGTTTTAGGGGTTATTTTTAAAGGTGTTCGTTTGGGTTTTTTTGAAAGAAGGAAATAGACAGGAGTGAGAGGGGATGAATGGAAGGTAATTTCTCTTAAGAAGTCAGGGAGAGAATGGTGATAGAGACTGAGAGAAGGGGGCAAGTCTGGAAGTAGAAGTGATTAAAATGTGCTGAGTGAGGCACTTACAAGAGCTAAGAGGATCAAAGCTGTATCTTTTAGACAAAAGGAAGATGTGTATTTGGATATTTTCTTCTTGTGGGTAACCAGTGCCTCTTGGCTGTGTCACAAAATGCTGTAAGCAAGACAAAGCAGGGGAATTTTACTTTGAGTGAAGCTGTGATTTAGTGCTACCCTTGCTCTTAGATGGACACCAAGTAAAATTACAGTCTGAGAGATTCACAGTACGACAGCCAACACACTTCTTACCCTGTGATTAAAAGAGAAAAAGAAAAAAAACAAAAGAGAAACAAGCCTTTTTGGCATTCAAGAAGAAGTAAAAAGCCAGAGTTTGTGTCAGAGGACCTGGTAATATCCACTGGCTCGAGAGCCCTGACTGGTGGCTTGGCAAGTGCTGAAGGGAGAGCACTGCACACAATGGGTGACAGAAAAAGAGGACACAGTCTCAAGCTGCACCAAGGGAAATACAGGTTGGATATCAGGAAAAAGTTTTTCACAGAAAGAGTGATAAAGTTCTGGAATTTTCTGCCCGGGGAGGTGGTGCAGTCCCCATCCCTGGGTGTGTTTAACAAAGCCTGGATGTGGCACTGGGTGCCAGGGTTTAGTTGAGGGGTTGGGGCTGGGTTGTACTCGATGATCTTGAAGGTCTCTTCCAGCCTGGTCATTCTGGGAATTCTGTTTTATGTGCTTGTCTCACTCATGAGCCTACCAGAGGGAATAATTGAAATACAGAAATAAAGTGTAGTGGGGGCTTTCTATATTTTTTCCACCTCTTCATTCCAGTGTGGAATGTGGATCCTGGTTGGAAAGCTCAAGCTTTTGGTAAATTTTAATTGCCTTTCCCTGCTGATCATATGGTACAGGTTGTTGGCTAATTAAGGGTGGTTTCCATGTCAGGGTTCTGTACACACAAAATACCCTGCTATTTTCTCATCTGTCTGGACAGGTATTATCCAGTATTAAAATGCTGAAACAGGGGGGAAAACATTTTCTTGGAGCTTTCATGTGAACAATTCACAGAAGCTTGCCAAAGCCCGGATGAGGAAAGCTGTACTTAAAGAGCTGAGCTAAAACCCTTCAATTCTACTGACTGTAGATGACAGAAAAGATGTTCCTTTATTATGGCAATGAAAATACATGGATCAAAGTGTTATCAGGAGAACGAGAAGAGGAGAGGGCTGTAGAATGTCTGTGTGAGGGAATTCTCCCCTTTTGTTCTGCCCTAGTGAGACCCCACCTGCAGTGCTGGGATCCCCAACAACAGAAAGACCTGGGGCTGCTGGAGTGAGTCCAGAGGAGGCCACAGGGATGCTCCAAGGGCTGGAGCCCCTCTGCTCTGGAGCCAGGCTGGAAGAGCTGGGAATGTTCCCCTGGAGAAGGGAAGGCTCCAGGGTGAGCTCAGAGCCCCTTCCAGGGCCTATGGGGGGCTTACAAAAAAGACAGAGAGCACTCTGGAGCCAGGCTGGAAGAGCTGGGAATGTTCCCCTGGAGAAGGGAAGGCTCCAGGGTGAGCTCAGAACCCTTCCAGGGCCTAAGAGGGGCTTACAAAAAAGACGGAGAGCGACTTTTTACAGAGGCAGACAGTGATAGGACAAGGAGGGAGCAGTTTTAAACTAGAGAGGGCTTTAGGTTGGGCATTAGGATGAAATTCCTCCCTGTGAGGGCGGGCAGGCCCTGGCACAGGTTGCCCAGTGAAGCTGTGGCTGCCCCTGGATCCCTGGAAGTGTCCAAGGCCAGGTTGGACGGGGCTTGGAGCAACCTGAGGTAGTGGAATCTGTCCCTGCCCATGGGATGAGCTGGAAGGTCCCATCCATCAGAATTCTGTGATCTACCTTCTGTTGGGCTGTGGCCGTTGGAAGTTGCTGCAGTGGCAGTTGGAGCTGATGCAGGGCCAGCTGGGACAAGCTGCAGTGGCAGAATCAGAGTTTGCACACACTGTGCAAATCCCTCTTGCAGGTGAGTCCACAGAAGGGTGGATTGAGCTGAAGCTGTTTCAGTTGAAAGCAAACATTTTCAAAAGAGTTGTCAGAGCTCCAGTGGGACCACTCTCCTCTTCATACCACTGCCTAAATCCCTGCCGACTGTAGTCTGGTGTCAGCTCCCTTACAGAGAGTGGATATTGCTTGGTCAACATACATAAATTCTCTAAAATCCTGGAGAAAAAGGGACTCTCCAAATGAAACTGCTTCATTAGTTCCTGTGATCATACACTGCAGTAGGCCAGCAGTGTTTTAAGTCGACCCTTCTGGTGATGGAAGAGAGGAGTAGGAATCTTTGTCAGTGGCCAGATGTTGGGAGAATTGAGGAAGAACTCAGAATGGATATCCAGCAACTTGGCAACAGGTAGAGGCAGCACACTATGAGCTCCTTGGATATCTCTGTTTGGGGAGGGAGGAAAGGGAGGCAAGGAATTGTGTTTGTGCTTTATCCAAATTACTGGGCATCAGCTGATTCCAGGGCTGATAAATCCTGGGCTGTGTGTTTATCCTTTACAAGTTGGGACTCATGTCAGCTCAGGTCTGGAGGGGTAGGAATCTCTGCACCCTGTTCTTCGTGCTCCTGAGGGCGGGTGTGAACCACCCAGAACCAGGTAAGTGCACTCTGGCTTTTGTGAATAAAGACATCCTGCACTGGTCATCCCTGCTCAGGGCTGAACCTTAACCATGGGCTCAGGCCATGGTCCCACCTACTAAAATGATGTGATGGGACCTCGATGATCTTGAAGGTCTCTTCCAGCCTGGTCATTCTGGGAATTCTGTTTTATGTGCTTGTCTCACTCATGAGCCTACCAGAGGGAATAATTGAAATACAGAAATAAAGTGTAGTGGGGGCTTTCTATATTTTTTCCACCTCTTCATTCCAGTGTGGAATGTGGATCCTGGTTGGAAAGCTCAAGCTTTTGGTAAATTTTAATTGCCTTTCCCTGCTGATCATATGGTACAGGTTGTTGGCTAATTAAGGGTGGTTTCCATGTCAGGGTTCTGTACACACAAAATACCCTACTGATGTGGCAGGACAGTGTTGGCTCCAGGGGCTGCATTTTGTGAAATTTTGGAGTGGCTCTTGTTGACTTAACATCACTTGGAAACATTTTCCTGTCTGTCCCATTTCTGTAATGGCTGGCTTGAGATCCAATGTCCTTGCTTTGAGCTAAATCCTCCTTACCTCCTCCCCTACTTAGAGGATCTGAAATTCAGGCTTTGTGGTTGCCACAGTGGCAAAGTGGAGCTTCATTGCTGGGTTGTGGAGCTTGTCAGCACTGGGGACGTGGTTCTCTTTCTTCTAAAAGTCTTCACCACAAAATTACCACTTTTGGAGGTTATATAAAAAGATGGGCGTTTGAAAGTCCTTTGACTTGTTTGGAAATAGTCTACATGGCATGAAAGGGTGGAGATTTCTGAAGTTCTTGGTGCTCCAGGCTAAAAAGTTGTTTTGCATCCCAGCTTGACCTCAGTTATCCTTTCTGTGCATCCCATGTTGAAGGCTGGGTCTAACTCACCGAGTTTTTTTTTCCCGCTGGACTTCTTCATTTTTGATCCTTCTAATAGCAGAGGATAAGCTGTATCTGAGCTCCCTGAACACACCTGTGTGCTTCCTCCTACAGGTTCCTTAGAAAGAGAGCTTGGACGGCATGCAAAGTTGTGAAATATCTGCAGACAGCACGGATGATCCTCTTAGTAGTGGCCTACGGAGAAAGCGACAGCCTCGAATAGTCGTGATCGGTGCTGGGCTCGCGGGCCTGTCGGCAGCCAAGGCGCTCCTGGAAAGCGGATTCACGGATGTAACAGTCCTCGAGGCGACCGACCGCATCGGGGGCCGCGTGCAGAGCGTCCAACTCGGTGAGAGTGAGCCGCCTTGGGCTTCAGCTTTCTGGATTTTTTTGCCTTTGTTCTTCTGATTTTTGGGCTGCTTTGGTGTGTGGGTGTGGGTTTCGTGTAAGGGGATGGTGAGCTCTCTTCACGGAGTAGGGAGACACGGCAATGCCTTCTCTAGCTGGGGGACCCAAAGACAGCCAGATCCAAATCTCAGGCCCAAGAGCGTAAACAACGTGGACTGAAGAGAGAAAAATACAAAGGATGGGACTTCATGGGCTGGGGCTGTAATTGGATAAGTAGCTCCAATATGCTAATGGACCAAAATTTATAGAAATGTGAGGTCTTGTGACTAAGCCCTCTTTTTGCTTCCATCTTGGAGCCATCTGGGCAGAGCCAGCTGTGGCTCTGGTAGTGCCAGGGTGTGGCCTTTGAAGGCCCTTCAATAAATATCCTTATATTCCCCTTAACTCTGTTTTGCCTCTATTCCAGCTGTTTAAGACATCAGCTTCTGGTGACCATGAAGGGACAGTGAGGCATCTGGAAATGGCATCAGTGCCTACAGAGGGCTGCTGGTGGGGTTTGTGTGGCATGAGGTCAAATGAACCTTGGAAATGGAGTTATGTGTGGTATCAAAATGGTTTGAGGTGTGGCTGTGTCAGGAGAGTAAATATTTAAATCCTTGGGTGCCTCTTGGGGTGGGTGGGTGGTTCTGTGCTGTCTGGTGCCTCACTTGTGACCCAGGGCTGCTCCAAACCTGTGTTTCCATGAAATAAAGGATTTGGGTGATTGTTTTCTCTCGCACAGGAAGAGCTCTGTGTAACAGGTTTGTGATTGAGTGACTGTACGCAGACTGTTTCCACCCAGGTTTTCCAGCTTGACTCTTTCCCAGGAGCAGCCAGTAAATCTCCAGGCTGTTGATGGGTTGTTTCTCAGGGCTTAGAGCCCTTGGAAAGGGGAAACCCCGAGCTGTTCTGCTTCACAAACAGCCCCATTCATTTCCCTAGAACTAATTTGCTATGTGGGGCATTACCCAGTGGGAATCAGACTGCTGGAAAAACATCTTCAATGTATCCCTTTATCCTGATTTTCAGCTTTCCTACCTCTGCAGCCTCCTTTCTCAGTGTGTAATAAAGGTGCAGACTCTGAATATTTGAATGCCAGGTCAATTTAAAAATATCTACAAAACTCCTGGAACAAACATTGTCCTTTGTAGCACAGGAGCCACTGAAGCTTTTCTTGGTATCCCGAAGGACATTGCCTGTCTCTTCGCTGCAGGAGGCATAAAGCTCTCTGCTTTTCCTGAATTGCTTTCCTGATTTCAATTAACTAATTCTGTTTCTGATCCCACTCTGGAGATTACCTCTGGCCTCTTGCTGCCCTTTCTTTTTATTTCTTAGGTGCTTAAATCACTCACTGTGTTTCACTTGATAAACTCACCACAGTGAATAAACAGCAGCCTCCTGTAAACTTGCAGAAGGGAAACCAATGGAAAGGCAGTCAGAAAAATCTAATCTCTAGGGGTTTGAGTAGGGCACTTCACATTCTGCTGAGACTTGGCATAGAGGTTAGGATGGGAAGTGTGTCCTTTATACACAATCCGTTGTATTAAAAATATCCTGGATGATGCCTGTGAGAGGAGGGAAGTGTGAAAGAGATGAAATCTTTGGGGAGCCACAGATCATTCTCCCAGTGCACCTGTGAAATAGTTCTGGTGTTTTTAGTACTGAGGCTGATTCTCTTATCTTTGCCTGCCTTCACCAGTAACTCACATCTTTGCCTTTGCTGGGAATCCACCTCCTCCTCCTCATTGACACCTCTTAATTAACAGTAGAGGAGAGCAGATGTTTCAGTCTGGAGGCAATTTCAGAGTTTGTAGATGTAACTGCTAGTTGCAGAGCAGAGGCTGACATCCAAAGTCTTAGTCTTTTGTTAATTTTTTAAAACTCCAAACTGTCTTTTCTTATCTTTCTCTTATCTTCTTATCTGCCGGCTCTCAAGGTTGCCCTGTGTGGGTGTGGGCTGCAGTTCTCTGCCAAGGTGGATCCATGTTCTGGCTCTGGCCTCTCCCCTGTCTGCACACTTGACTAAAGATCTGATTTAAATTTCAGCAGAACTACTAATTCGGAAGAAATTCTTCCCAGTGAGGGTGGGGAGGCCCTGGCACAGGGTGCCCAGAGAAGCTGTGGCTGCCCCTGGATCCCTGGAAATGTCCAAGGCCAGGTTGGATGGGGCTTGGAGCAACCTGGGGTAGTGGAAGCTGTCCCTGCCCATGGCAGGGGGTGGGAACAAGATGATCTTTAAGGTCCCTTCCGAACCCCAAACCATTCTGTGACATTGTGGCACCTTCTCAGGGTTATATCTGAATCCTTCCCCCTCACTGAGCCATGTCTTGTAGGGGACAGTATTTTCCTTCAAGTGCACAGATACTTGCTTCTCAGCCCAGGGGAATAATGTGGATATTCAGAGGCTTGGTTCTAGCACAGGTGAGGCAGAGGGTTTGTGTCTTTGTGCACTGTGTGTTTCCTGCACATGACCTATAACATCTGTATCCACTGCAGCTATTTCACAGTTACCCAAGAAATGGCCAGGGCTGCAAAGGGAAGTGTCAAAGTTATCCCTGTCCAGGAGGCTTGATCTACAATCTGTGTGTTTCTCTGCTTTTTTTTTTTTTTTTTTTTTTTTTTTGATTATTGTATGGCATGATTCATTCCAAATAGATTAATTTTGAACCAAAAGTCTTTTAAGGCCCTGAAAGTAAATTGGCTGTCTCTGTTTAAAAGAATTTTATTTAATTTTACACTTTTAAATAACTAATCATTTAACTTACACCTGGCTTATCTAGTAGTGATGATAGTGAGCATGAATATTACAGGCAAGAATGAGCTTTTAATTTGTTGGTATTTGATTATGTTCCACACAGCTCAACAGGAGAACTTGGAATACATCATCACTGTCACCAGGCACTAAGGCAGCAGCAGGAGCTGCTGGCAAATTGTTTTCCTGGAAAAATCAGGTGTCTCAGCAGGATTGCTGTGCAGCAGAGACCAAGCTCCTGCCCTGGAGCAGGAGGCAGCATTCCTGCTGCTGCTTGGCATGGCCTGAGTTGCAGGAGGATTGCATTAACCAGGGGGCTGCCACTTGCAGTATTGATGAGCTCTGTACCTTTGGGTGCCAGTGTTCAGTCGTTTCCACCTGGCTGCGTGCTCTGGGCTGTGTTGGAGTCGGTGTCACCTGAACTATTGGGGTCTGTGTGTTGGTGCTGCTCTCTGCAGCAGGTGCTGTGGTGTACAAGCCTCCTGCTGTAGTGCAGGTTTTGAAGAGCAGTCAGCACAGCTCTCACTGACAAAGGGGCTGCTTGGAAAACGAGATCCGTGGAGCTTCCCTCCGAGGCAGGGCCTCAGCCAGGGAGCAGCATTCCTTGGAGCTTTCACTCTTTAAACCTGACTGCAGCACAGCTCAGTGCTGCAGTGCCTCTGTCTGAGCATACATTTACATGTTAAACAGCAAATGATAGCTGCGAACTGCACCATCCTTTCTTCATCAAGCAGGATCCTATTAATTATCCTGCTTAATCAGGCATTCCCACACTGCTGCAGGGGTGCTGGGAGATGCCCAGCTCTGTCAGACTTTAAACTAGCTTTGGCCTTGTGAGAATCTGTCAGAATATGGGGGGATATGTGACCCAAGCTTATTTTTAGCATCTCCTTTCAGCTGCTGAGCATCCCCCTGTGCTCTCAGCCCAGTCTGGCAGTGCTGGATTTGGGGGGGACGAAGCCCTGGTGCAAATCCTGATAGTTGTAAGGGGAGAGTGGGGCTGACCAAACTCTTTGCGTTTTTCAAGCAGAGAGTACAGGTGATGAAAACAAAATGCTTTTGGTGTTTAGCCTGACAATGCCTCTTTCTGAAGAACCTGATATATAAACCTCCAAAGGCATAAGTAATAAAATACAGCCTATGTACTCATTTGGGGAATGGAAGTGCATGTTTTATTGCAGTTAATCTGAGGTGTATTTGTAAATAACAACCATTTTTAGTCACAGGACAAGGTTCAGTATTCAGGCCAATGTTGCAATCCACATTTCCTGCATCTCCCTGCTGGCAACAACCCTGGTGAGAGCTGGGAACTGAGAAGGGCTGAATTTCTCCTTAAGTATCAGAGGTGTTTCACTGTGAGGGATCTTTATTACAACATCCCATCCTTCTGGCAATACCCAAACCTGTATCCCAAAGGACCAGCTGGAAGAATGCTGGCATTGTGTCTAACAGAGAAAACTCCCTTAAGGGATGTTCAAACATGAGCTGTCCTTGGGCAATTCTGCTTTTGCACATTTTATTCACGGCTGAGCGTGAGAAGCTTCCAGGAAAACAGGCTTCCATAACCAGTTTGCTTGGCTTCCTCTCCTGCAGGGCATGCCACTTTTGAGCTGGGAGCTACGTGGATTCATGGTTCACATGGAAACCCAGTCTATCATCTAGCAGAAGACAATGGTTTGCTGGAAGAGACCACTGACAGCGAGAGGAGCGTTGGGCGGATCAGCCTTTACTCCAAGAATGGGGTGGCTTATCACCTCACCAACAGCGGGCAGAGGATCCCGAAAGATGTGGTTGAAGAATTCAGTGATTTATACAACGAGGTTGGTGTCCAGCTGCTTTGTCGAGTGGTAGGTTTGACTGGAACACTGAGACCCCTTGGCAGTTAGAACATTCCAGGACAAAGGTAGAAAAACAGTCATGTCTTTAATTTATTTGGGAAAAAAAAAAATCAATGCTAAGTTTTCTCTCACCTGCTTCACTGTACCCCATTTGTCTCTGTTGTGGGATTAACTCTCTGTGGTGAGGAAGAACAATCTTTCCATTTTTGTATCCATTTAATCACTTCCAGCAACTATTTCTGGGGAAGACCCAGTAATTTGCTGGGGACATCCTGTAATTAATCCAGTACTTGATTAAAAGAATAGTGGAAGGATCAAGTTGCTAAACCAAGTAGAAGGCAAAATCTTAGCAACAGCCAGCTAAATATTGTATCCCTGTGACTTTTTATTGGTTATAAATACTATGAAATGCTGTGTGGAGTGCCAAAGTCAGTGCAGTTTTGTAGGAATTGAAAGTTTTTTTTGCATCAGAAGGAAAGGAATCTCTTTTCTGGGAGATTCAGACCAGCATGGACTTCAGATGAAGGTTATTTAAACTCTTTTGCTTGCCAAAGTTAATTATAATTATTCCCCACATTTTTTTAATGCTGTTTGTGAAGTACATTTAGAGGGGTCAGTGCAGACTGTCTGGCCCTGCAGGTAATGTGATCTCTCAGTGGGTTGTAGAAAATGGAACAAAACATGAATATTTTCATCAGGCTGTAACAGTGCCTAAAACCTTCAAATTTTCATCTGACAGCAAACTTTAGTATTTGACTCTTGGCTGAACACTGACTAGATTCAGGTTACTCTTGCATACTTTGTTTAAAAATATGTCTGGGAGCATTAGAAAAGTCACTGTAGCCTGTAAAGAATTATCAAGTATTGGGTGTGGAGCAGAAAAGGGGATTTTTTTTTTCTTTTGAAAAGATTTTTGACATCTGTCCTGTGTTTCTGAACTGGAATCAGTGATGGGATGGCACAAAATCAGTTTCAGAGAGGAGTAGTAGGAATTTAAAAGAAATCTCGTTTTGGGAAGGATTTGTCAACCTGTGGACAATGTCTTGGACAAATGCAGGTGGATATAATTCACCTGAACAATTTTTCATGCTACCAGATTAAAAAAATGAATGAGACTTTTTCCAGGCAGGAAAAGAAGACAGGTGAGATGTGAGATGTGTGTGGAGGAAGATTAACAGCAACTGGGGCTAGAAAGAGTAAATGAAAATACTGCAGTGAGCAGCATTATTTATGTAAATGGAACGGTGCCAAACTGTGTGCAGGGCTTGGTGATCATCCTGTCTGGAAGATGATAGGAAAATCTCCAGCAAAGGGAGGGCAGACTCCAAAATGAGAAGGGAATACAGAGATGAGAGCCACTTAGCTTTGAGATAAACCCAGTAAGATAAAGGTCATAACAAGGTACCAGTGTTTTAGAAATGATTAATTTGGTAAATCTACCCTTTCTTTTAAAGGGGAGAGAAAGGGGCAGCCAGTGACATGAGAGAACAGCACATTAAAAGTTAATCTTCTTTACACAACACCTAATTAGCTTATCATTGCCATAGGATATCTTTATCACTAGGAGACAGAAAAGGCTTTCACATTTATGGCTTGTAAAAATGTCTGCAGCCACTCGTGGTGATAAAAAATACTTAAGGGACATCTGGAGCCAAGCAGGGGACATCAGCCAGCCCCTTAATTGCTCTTGCTGGGAGGGGCTTTCTCTGCCTTCCTCCAAAGCCTGCTGGAATTTCTTGCAGGAGCAGCTCAATGTTTTGTGGAGCTGCTTGTCCCAGCTTCCTTGGGGTGCCAGGCTGGAGGATCTGTACTGATTGAAGGCATTTGGCTGTGGTTTATTCCCTGCTCTGCCTAGGAAAAGTGGGAATTCAGGCAAGCTATGTGATCTCGTAAAAATACCCAGTTAGAATGGCTGTAGGAAAAACAAGTGCCCTGGAGGGGGGACAGCCAGGAGCAGGTGTGTGGCTTTGGGGACATTTTCCTCTGGCATAAAGTGCAGAGGGTGTTCCACACATGCTGAGTGTGGCGGAGGTGTTTCTGGTTTGTGTTTTGGGGTGTCCCCCACCTCCCCAGCATTACTGTGAGAGTGGTGAGAACCTGGCACAGGGTGCCCAGAGAAGCTGTGGCTGCCCCTGGATCCCTGGAAGTGTCCAAGGCCAGGTTGGACAGGGCTTGGATCAGTTTGGTTTAATGGAAAATGTCCTTGTCCATGGCAGGGCAGTTGGAACAATACAATCCTCAATGTACCTTCCAATCCAAACTATTCTGTGAGGAGTTTTTTTCTTGTTCATGAGATGTTACTAATTTTTTTTTTTTTTTGGTCAAAGTTCTGTTGCTTTAACTGGTGGTGAAATGAATGCTGAGGAGGAGCAGCAAGAATTTTCAGTTCTGCATCTCTGGTTTTTTTTTTTTTTTTTTGGGAGGCAGGTTTTATGATTGGTTTTGTTAAAGCATTTTGGAGTTGTCCAGGATAAAAAGTAATCTTACAGATCACTAAATCCTGAGGTCAGGGTTTTCCCTTGTCTCATAGGAGCTCTCAGGCCTTTCTCAAATTTTTATTAGCAATCTCACCATCACGTCATCTCACCCCTTCAGAGGGGGCTGAGATAGCAAAGGTGGCACACCCTGTCCTGAGCTGAAAAGAAAGCCCCCCCCACAAAACAGCCAGCAACCCATGATGGATGCAAAGCCTAATCAGGGATGTAGGACTGGCATGAGCAGTGGAAAATGTATCCCTGAATGAGCAGGGCTAAATTTGTCACCCTTCCAAGGGGCTGCCCTCCCTGCACAGCTGCTCGCTCCCCACGCACTCACACCCTGCCTGGCTTTGCCTGCAGCTGCTGCTGTGGCTCCAGCCTGTGCCTTCAGCTCTTCTCCTCCAGCTGGGTCTCCCTAGCCCCAGTTATCTTGTCATCTGGACACCAGATTCTAGGGAATTCAAAGTGCAGGGGGTCTCCCTTGAGTTTCACTGGGGCATGTGGAGTCTCTGAAACTGCATTTTAGCAAGGCAAGGTCTCTCTGTGCTGAGTTTTCCTGGAGTGAAAGGCAAAGCACCTCTGTACCTCCAGAGCTTTGCCTCGCTAATTCATCTGGAAAGTCCTTAGGCTTTTTCCAGGCACTTATCCAATCTTTTTTTGGCTGGCTTCTTCTACCTCAATACAAGTTTTGCTGCATTTTTGTTTGCAGTAGCCTGAATTTTTAATAGCTGTAGGGATGTCTCACAGGAGCCTTTATTTGGTTACGAGGAAGTGGAGCAGTCAGACTGCTTGAAGACTGCTCAGCTCTTCATTTCTCCAGCAGAAAGTTCCTTGGGTGAGGCTGTTGCCGTGCACTGGGGTCAGTCAGGATTTGTCATGAGATTGATGTGACCTGAAGGAGACCAGTGCCTTCAAGGAAGGTCTCCAGTCCACCTGGATTCCCAGCCATGCATTGCCAAGGGAATCACCCTGAGACAGGGCAGGGCTTTTAGGATTGTGCTTCTTAGATCGTGTGCTGTGTGGGGCTGGCACTGCTCAGGGTCATTGTCACTCCATTTGGTCAGTCTCCAAAAGGAAAGGCACCAGCACAGGGAGGTTCCCCAGGGTGTGATGCCCACATCATGTATTTGTCATCTTCCAACCTTCCTCTCCATTCCTTCTAGGATAATTGGGGGAATCCTGGGGCTGGGAGAGGATTTTGTCTCTTCTTGCTTATACTACATTTGCATGATTCTCAGGAAAATGACCAGAGTGGGACCTCTGAGGGTAATGTCTGCACCTTTGGGGTCTGTGTGTGTGTATGACTCCTCAGAAAATGGGAACAGGGACAATTTATCTCAGAGCTGTTCCTCTGTCCCTGCTAAGTTCTTATTTCCCTTTCCAGGGAGGTGTTTGAAGCCGATTCCCAGGTATTAGTGAGAAGTGGGAAGTGGTGAGCTGGACAGGTTAAATGCAGCTGAAAAATCACAGTCCATCACCAGTCTGATTTAGGAGAAGTACCTGCTTTTACTTCAGCTTTTCAGCAAGGACTGGTCCCTAAAGAGCTGCTTCCCAGGAACCCTCCCTTTAACAATCAGCTAATTAATGGCCTTGTTATCTGTCAGCTTTCTCCTGTGTGCTACAACAGCTTCTGGGGGAGGGATGCAGCCAAAGAATGACAGCGTTTTTCATCCTCCACACCCCCACCCCGTGCTGGGCTTCCTGCCATCCCCAATTAAGCTCCAGTGCCTTGGCTTGCAGTTATCATGGAAAGCAGGACCAAAGGGCCACCGAGAGTCACCGTTCCCTCCCTGCCTCTATTGCACTGACAGATGTCTGGCCTGGGAACAGCACAGCCCTATCTCCATCAGGGCTTTTTACTGGACAGGGATTAAGTCACGGCAGTTTTTAAGCCAAGTGAGCAAAAGACAATGCTGGGCATCGTCACTGGAGCTGACAGGAAGGAGTGTGGATGGGGATGTGCTTTCCTGACCTCCTTCAGTGCGGAGAAACTTCTTTATTTAGCTTTGTTCTTCCTAAGAAACTGCTTTTTCCTGTGGTGGAGGAGCACGTAGGTAGTAAATAAACTTGTGGAGGAGGAAGCTTGTAGGTAGCAGAGGGGCGACATCCCTGCTGGAATCCACGTTCCCTGCACAGACCCTGGTTGTGGGATGCCCCAAAGCTGGTCAGAAAGAAGACAGAAGATGGAAGCTGAAGTGAAACTGTTTTAGGACTGTGGACATTCAATTAACTTGTTTTGATTTCTTACCTTTAACCCCTTCTGTCTTGCAGACCCAGGGAGCTGGGGTTGTTCAGCATAGAGAAGGCTCCAGGGAGACCTTCCAGCATCTTCCAGTGCTTGAAGGGGCTCCAGGAGGGCTGGAGAGGGACTTTGGACCAAGGATGGACTGACAGGATAAGGGGGAATGGCTTCCCATTGACAGAGGGCAGGGATGGATGGGATATTGGGAAGGTATTGTTCCCTGTGAGGGCAGTGAGGCCCTGGAATGGATTTCCCAAAGAAGCTGTGCCTGCCCCTGGATCCCTGGAAGTGTCTGAGGCCAGGTTGGATGGGGCTTGGAGCACCCTGGCATCATGGAAGGTGACCCTGTCCATGGCAGTGGATGGCACTGGATCGCCTTTAAGGTCCCTTCCCACCCAAACCATTCCATGATTCTGTGAATTCCCTGGAGGATTGTGTATAAGCCTTCAGAATGAGGGAAGGAAGAATGTTTAGAATGAATGGTTACTTGAGATCTCTGTTTTTTACTTCTGTTTTTTCAGTCAGGCTTCCAGTGCCACTTACTCTGTCCCACCTCAGGGAAACTTCAGAGTGAGACATGTTCAGGTCATCCTGCTGGGATGTGAGATTGCCAGTGGTAATGATGCAGTCTCTCCTTTGGTTTTGCTCCCTGCTTGTATCAGGGGTGTGATAATAGAAAAGCAAAGGTTGGCTGGACTCTCTGTGGTGTAGCTCTCCTTGCTGGACGTGGAGCTCTGGTTTGGATGCAGAGACATTTTGAAGGGTTAACTAGAAAATCAGCAGAATCTTTCAGGTCATTCTTGTTGTTACCTTTCCCCAGGATCTTTGAGGGAAAGCCCATTTCTACTCTCTCAGGAACCCTGCTGCTGAAATGTTGAAATGATTGGAGGAGTATGGGTTTTCAGATATTACAACTGCCTGTTCCCAGGGACCCCAGGGGTGGTCCCATAGGAATGACAGTGCTTTCCCCATCTGGAGAGGGAAAGCCTGGATAATTCCAACTCCAGACAGCATAATTTTGCTCCTGCTTAGTTGGAAATCTTCCTTAAATGAGGTGTCCTAGTGAAGCTTTTCCATAGCTTCTTACACAGGATGTGTTTGCTGCTCATGTTCATTAAAACATACATTTTAAGCATCTTTTTCACTCATTTATTCTGACCATATTCTGACTCTCAAGGTAGGACCTGCTGTTGTTTCTCCTTTTGCTTCTTGCCTACCACAGCTTTGCCTCCTCTTCTTCCTCAGATGGTTCAGCACCCCCAAGAATCAGAGTATCCTGAGTTAGGAGGATCATCACATTCAGCTCCTGGGCCTGCACAGGAAAACCCCCAAAGTCACACCTTGTGTCTGAGGGTGTTGTCCAAATGCTTCCTGAACTTGAAAAGCAAGGAAATAACAGGGGAAATAAGAAATCCTGATGTGATTGAACTTACCTGCTGTCTGATCAATGGGATGGCGCCTCCAGGAAAGACTTTCCTTGATGGTTACAGCACAGAGAACTTGTGCCTTCCTGCTCTGCTGCCTGTGGGGCAGTGAAGAATATAATGGTTAACAAAAACATAGTCAGGCTCACTTCTCCTGTGGGCCAAGTGGTGGCTGGGTTTTAGCAGGGCTTTGCTTGTCCTGTGAGTTTGTTATCTGCTTACAGAGCTCAATCAGATTATGAAAGCCGAGCTGATTGTGCTGACGCAAGGTCTGTGCAGCCCGGACCTGCTGCAAGTGCTTGTGGCCTCAGAAATCCAGGGACCTGAGAACAAAGGGATGCTGGAACTGCCAAAGTTTCCTTTGCTGGAAGCCTTTGTTTCTTATAGGACGTTGGGCCCCCACCATTCTTGTCTGGGAATCTCCTTGGAATTGCCATGTCCCAGGCAGTGTCTGCAATTCTCTTCTGTCTTTACCAGTCCCACTCATTTTCCTTGTGATTGTTTCTTCTCTGTTTTTATCATTTATTTCTCTCCCCCTTCCCCCCCCCCTTTTTTTTCACTCTTTCACTTACTTTCTTCAATTTTCTCCTCATCCCTTGCTTTTCAACTCACCTTCCTCCATTTGCTCACAGATCTCCTCTCTCTCACTCCTACCACTGCAATGTGTTTATCCTCCCCCCTTTCCTCCTGTTCTCTCTATTTTGCCACCTCAATTTCACTTTATTCCTAAAACCCAAGATAAAATCAAGCTCTTGGGGAAAATTGGAGTGGGAAGAACGTAAACCAGAGTGGATTAGCCCTATCAGCAGGGAATGAGAAGCTCCAGGAGCTTTTTGAAGGCAAGGCTGCCACAGTTTTTTACCAGCTTTGTACCAGATATTTACTGTAGACTTCAACTTCTTGACACATCCAAATCATCTCAACATCCAAAAAATGATCATAAGGTGTAATCAAACCATCTTTGACAGGAAAAACTCCCCAGGCAGAGATGTAAGAATATTGTTCACCCTGTGGCATGATGTGCATGAGAAGGGGACACATTCTGGACAAACAAATCATTAATGGGATGTGCTGCATTTCTGAGAGGCATCTTTTGAAAGCCTTCCTGTGTTAAAAGATTCCTCTTGAGTTTTTTATTTTCCGTAGAAAGGAAGAGCCATGATGCAATTGCAGGCTCTTCTGGCAGTAATGTAGATAGAAAGACAAGTTTTTCCAGACAGCCACAAGCAGAGGGCTGAGGTGGATGGTGTTTCCTTACCTTTACGTAGCTTGTATGGAAAACTGGGGTTGAAAAACACCAGGAATATCTTCAGAGAAGAATGATTTGTCACAAGGCATTTTTACTGTGGCTCCTGGTGAGGGGCTCTAGACATGTCACTGTTTTCCATGGATTTCTACCTGTCCTGTGCTCAAGTAAAATTGTGTGCATACAGAATTCCTCTGCTGTTTGTCACCCTGATTTCATGGGATGTTGGAATCCAAAATGCAGGGAATTCTCAGAACTTTGGGCCTGTAAGCCAAAGCTTAGAATTAAACGCAAGATTTGATCTGAGACCTTGGAAAAGGCTTCCAAACTTAAGTACTACAAGCGAGAATGTGGATTTATAGTTTAAAGCAGAGACATGTTAAGTTAAAAAGAGGAAAGTTTAGAGTTTTAGAATTTAGGATATAGAAAAAATAAAAGTAGTTACAAAGGTAATCAAGTTTAGAATACAGTACTGTAGGTTTATGTATCATAACATAATTAACTAAGAAAGCTTGCACTGCAGCAAAAGTCCATAAAACTAAATATTTAAGGATTAAGTAAAAAACATAAATTATCTTTATTCAATAAATCCTTAAAAGGTCTTATAACTAGCGATCTTGTAACTTTCTAAACCATGCAGTAAAGATGTGAGCTAAGCTCACCCTTCCTGTCGATGTCGAAGATACGAAAAATAAATCACATCCTCTAAAAACTCAAAAATCCCATCTCTAACTCATTCAAAATTCCTTCAAAAATCCCCATAAATGGGACAACAGAACAACAACTGTGAAACTCAATTCACCCACTCTGGTGGATTCCTTCTAAATGATGGAGAGGGTGGAAGGGCTGGTGTCAATCTGGGATTGCACCTGGGACACGGAGGTGGAAGAAGAGCTGGTGCTTTTTGTCAGATGTGAGGAAGGACGTGGCTTCTGCTGGGAGGAGGAGGTGAATGTGCTGGATTGGGACAGGTGAAGGAACATCTTGCTGGATGATCCCATCCTTGTGTCCTGTCTCTGGCAGGTCTATAACCTGACTCAGGAGTTCTTCCAACGAGGTAAACCAGTCAATGCTGAGAGCCAGAACAGCGTGGGCGTTTTCACGCGGGACGTCGTGCGCAAACGCGTCAAGGCCGACCCGGATGACACGGAGGCCGTCAAGAGGCTGAAACTGGCCATGATCCAGCAGTACCTGAAGGTAGGTGTGCGCATCATTGGGGTGTTCTGTTTGGGTTTAAACTAGGAGCAAAAAAATCTTCAACCTCACGCACCTGTCTGAGCCCTGCCCAGCCCTGGAAATTGCCTTCTGTGCTCTCTTGCAGTTTGTGTTTCTGTTGACAACTTTCCCTCCTGGTGCAGATCCAAAGACACTGGGCTGCAAGGAATAATACATTTTTTTTTTTTTTTCTTACCTTAAAACCCCAGTTGTCTTAATAGAAGAGGCTTTCCTAGGCCTTGTTAAATTTTCTGGTTTGATTTAGGGTTTTTTTGCCACCTGAAGTAACTCTATTGTCAGGTTCTTTTAGTAGTGTCTTATCTTGTGACTTACACCTGCCCCCCCTGATCCTGCCTGAGTGTTTTTTACCTCTCAGAGATGAGAGGAAATGTAACTTTGATGCTAGTAATTTGCTGAAGAAATCCCCAGAAAGCATTTTGAAGGTAAAGCAATAAAATCCAAGACAGACAACTTTGCACACAGCTTCCGTAGTTTTTTTTATCTCCTTGGTGCCTTGGCTAATTGAGTTCTCTGTGGGATGAGGACTTAATGCTGCATCAAGCACTCCACGAGTATAGTGTATCAGTTATTTTTATTTCAATTAGAATGACTTAAAAGCTTCTGAAATGAGGCAGGGGAGGCAAGCAGCACTTTGTCATTAGTTCACTGTTTTCAGGTGGGAATCTAAACCAAAGAGGAATAAAGACCTAAAGTGTCTCGCAGGAGATTTGAGATGAAGCTGAGGTTTGAACCCTGGTGTCCTGAGCCTAATATCTCAGCATCCTCACCCAAAACCTTTTCTCACAGGGTGTCTCCACAGCTGCCACGTAAAGCTCAGTTATTTATTGTGTTACCCATATACCCATGCAGACAGGGTTAAGTCACTGGATACAGCTCTGGGTTTCCTGGTGGTTTTTCCTGTGCTTGCTCCAGGCTGCCACAGTCAGAGCTGTTTCTGCAAGTCTTGCAAATCCCTTCTCATGCAAATACCTGAGAACAACAAAGCTTCTCATACTTAAGACTATCAGATGACAGAGTGGGGATTTACCTGCCTTGGGTTAGAGTCTTCCTAGTTGTTTGTTTTTTTCCCCCTGGCATTTTGCCTTCATGGTTGAGAGAATCAAACAGCCACCAGTGTTTAACTTCATAATGAGGAGTGTCCTGTTGGAGCATCCAAGCAGGATGAGGATCCTGCTGTGTGCCACGGATTTTGTCTTGTCACCCTGGGGGAGGTCTGGGAAGTGCTTGGGTAGGGTGGAACTACAGCACAGTCCAAAGATGGGTCTTCACTCAGTCCCCACTGGAGTTACCAGGCAGTGACCAGGACAGGGAAGGCACCTGTTGGTCCCTGCAGGCACAGGAGCAGCCTGGGAGCTGCTGGTACAGCCCTGACTTGTTCACTTTGTCCCAGCACAGAGATTCCTGCTCTGCACCAGGGTGCTCCACAGGGAGACAGTCTGGGCTTGTCAGGCTTCCAAGCACAGTCATTAAAGTGTGGAAAGGTCTGGAAAATAGGTCAAAGGGCGAGGTAAGGAATTGTAATATTCCTTAAAATGCTTAGAGAATTACAGTGTGCGAGCGATTGTGACTCCGGTGATGTGAAGATTTTAAGATCACTGTGTCCCGTGCATCAGGATTATCATTAGAAGCTTATCACAAGACAGGCCAAACATCCTGCCTTTGTTCCAGGGATTGTTGGGAGCTACAGCTATGCTTAATACTCCTACAAACATTAACCAACAGGTTAATGGATCTAAAGCTTTGGTAATCACATCAAACACACGTGGCTCACATCTTGGCATTTCCCTTTTCCGTCTCCTTCAGTTCCTCCTGTGCTGGGTCCTCTCACCTCTGGCAGATTGTTAGCTGGCTGGTTGCTGACTGTTTGACAGCAGGCTGAAAGCTGCAGACAGCACAAAGAGCTGCCAGAAGTTTTTTGTGGTTCCTCGAGGGAACATTTATTAGCATTGGAATGAGCATCTGATTAATGCAACTCCAGGTTCTGCTGTAGGAGCACCAGGCAGTGGGTCCCTGGCCACTGCAGAGGGTTTTAAAGGATAGAAACCAGAACTTTAACCCAGAATTGTGCAGAAGCAAAGACATAATGGAATGATAGATTCACAGAATGGTTTGGGTTGGCGGGGACCTTAAAGACCATCCAGTTCCATCCCCTGCCATGGGCAGGACACCTTCCACAGGTTGCTCCAAGTCCCATCCAACCTGCCTTGAAAACACTTCCAGGGCTGTGGCAGCCACAGCTTCTCTGGGCACCCTGTGCCAGGGCCTTACCACCCTCACAAGGAAGAATTTATTCCTCACATCTAATTTAATTTGACCATCAGTTTAAAGCCATAATTCTTTCTCCTGTCACTCCTTGGCCTTGTCCAAAGTCCCTCTCCAGCTCTTTTGTAGGACCTTTAGGTACTGAAAGGTGTCAGGAGGTCTTGCCAGAGCTTTCTCTTCTCTAGGCTGAACAGCCCCAGCTCTCATTTTGTCTTCAGATCAGAGGGGCTCTGTTGTGCAGGGCTCCAGCCCTCTGGTCCCTGAACTCTGGATGATGCAACTCCAACTCTTTACCATGACAAAATGGTTTCTCTGGTTGCAAGAAAGGCTAAGGATTGATTTTTGTCAGATCCTGTGGCCAAGCACTTCTTTACTAGCAAAACTAATCTGGTTTCAGAGTGGAATTCATCACTCTCATCTCATGCAGCTCCTCTGTGCCCTTGCAGAGCTGTGCTGTGGCTAAAGGAGTTGCTCTGTGGCAATGTTGCTTTTGTGTTGCTTTTCCTTAGGTAGAGAGTTGTGAGAGCAGCTCCCACAGCATGGATGAAGTCTCGCTGAGTGAATTTGGGGAATGGACCGAAATCCCTGGGGCACATCACGTCATTCCTTGTGGTTTCATTAAAATCGTGGAGATTCTGGCCCGCTCCATTCCCAAGTCTGTCATTCAGCTCCGCAAGCCGGTCAAGTGCATCCACTGGAACCAGTCGGTCAGCAAGGAGATTGAGAGGGTGGCTGACCACAACAGTGACCTCCCCGAGGAGAACAAGGGCTCCAATGTCTTCGTAGAGTGCGAGGACTGTGAGTTCATCCCAGCTGACCACGTCATTGTGACTGTGTCCCTGGGAGTCTTGAAGAAGCGCCACGAGAGCCTGTTCCATCCCCGCCTGCCTGAGGAGAAGGTGATGGCCATTGAGAAACTGGGAATCAATACCACTGACAAGATCTTCCTGGAGTTTGAAGAGCCTTTCTGGAGCTCTGAGTGCAACAGCATCCAGTTTGTCTGGGAAGACGAGGCAGAGAGCGAGAGCTTGACTTATCCTGAGGAGCTGTGGTACAAGAAGATCTGCAGCTTTGATGTGCTGTACCCACCCGAGAGGTACGGCCACGTCCTCAGTGGCTGGATCTGTGGAGAAGAGGCTTTGATTATGGAGAAGTGTGATGATGAAACTGTGGCAGAAACCTGCACCGAAATGCTACGTAAATTTACAGGTCAGCCTTGGTGGGAGAGGGAGCGTGGGGCTGGGGAATCAAATAATCACGAGGAAGGAAATGCTTTAAAGTCATTTTTAGTTCTTTGGCATTTTGTGTCCCTTTGAATGTGCGTGTGCTTCCAGCATAGCTCCTGCTTGGGTGTGCCTGAGAGCTATTTATACAGAGGGGCTGATAAACCGGCTCAGGAAGTGATGGGCAGAAGTGCTGGAGGATTCCACATCCTCTGCTTTATTGAATCACAAATAACTCTTCAGCAGCTGAAGCTGTCGGGCTCTGAGGGCTGATCTCAGCTGTGGAGAGCAAGCATGGCCCCTTCAGAAATTGAACCTGTTTAGATCAACTGAGTTGTGTTTCAGTCACATCCCTGACTTCCATTCAGTATCAGATAGATGGAGATAATCTCCAAGACCTAAATTTCAAAAAATTTATTGATCTTGAGAGTTCCCATTTTCTGGGTGCATCACTGAAACCTTCCTGGACTTCTCAGATTTAATGTTCTGTGATCACACATCACTTTAAGGGCAGCAGTTGGACTGAGGCAAGTCTTAGGTGCATTACACTGAGAAAATCCAAATGAAATCACTTAAAGCAATAACACTTGGATGCTGGGCTTTAGCTGGTCCACAGGCACTTCTCTAGACGTCACACACCTTTCCAGGAAAAGGGATTTTTGTATCTGAGAGTCTTTGACATCCTCTGATGGGAGACACTGTGCAAGTGCAGGTATAAGGTAGTAACACTGAAAGAAATAGTGATGGACTTAACAGCAATTTTGAAATAAGGGTTTTGAATTTATGCAGAATTACAAGCAGTTATAAGAGGAGCATCCTCCAAGATGAGGTGTAGTTTATGCTATTTTAGAGATGGCTCCTGTGATTAAATGATATTATAGAAGGACGATCGACCAAAATCTCCAGTCTCAGCACTCCAACCTTACCTCTTGTCCATGGAGCTCCAGCTAAGTGGAGAAGTTTGTCTTCACAAGTGCAGCTTTCCCCTGTCCTTACTGCCCATTTGCCACCAACAGCATGGAGATCCAGAGAGTCACAGAATCACAGAATATCCTGAATTGGAAGGGACCCATCAGGATCATCGTGTCCAGCTGCTGGCCCTGCTCAGGACACTCCAACAATCCCTTTGTGCCTCAGAGCATTGTCCAAATGCTTCTTGAGCTCAGTCTGGCTTGGTGCTGTGACCATTCCTTGGGGAGCCTGTTCCAGCACCTCTGGGTGAAGAACCTTTTTCCTGAAAGGGCTCTGGAATCTGAGGACTTCCTGCATAACTGACTACGGGCAAAAGAGGTTTTACCACTTTCTACAAGAGCTGTAGGGTAGAGACTCTGGGTTGAAAAGCTCTGATTCAGTGCCTGCATCCTTGTTTCAGCGGTGCCTCCTGAGCTGCTGGTGTTCAGGGGTGTTGGGTGTCCCCATGTCCTGTGTGTTACATCATTCCCTATGTACCATCTTTCCCCTAACCCCAGCAGGGAACTGCTGCTCTACACAGGCTTAGCAGGAGGCACTTCTCTCACAGGCCAAGTTGTTGCAGTGCTGAATGTACAAACAACCTTGTTTGTTGCAGCTTTTCTTGCTTAAGGCCTATTAAAAAACAAAAAAAATAATTCCAAAACCCACTCCAATTCATCAGTGGGAATTTGGCTGTTTGGGTCTGTTGTCGTTTGGCACGTGGGAGTTTGCTCTCCCTCTTCCTTCTTGGGCTTTTTCACAGTTACTGTTTACGTGTGTTGGATGTTCTTCTCCTCCCAGCATGGAAATATGTGGCTCTGGGCCCTGGCTCTGTGCTGCAGTTGCTGTTCCAGCTGATGCTGCACCTGGTCACTGTCCATCAGGCTCTTCCACACAGCTAATCCCAGGTTATTTCTCCTTGGAGAATTCCAGACTGGATTTACCAGGGCCTTGCCCTGCAATGAGCATTTTGTGCATCAGCTGAGAAATGGTCTTGCAGCTACTGAAAACTGTGAGAGGAAAACCTGTTTTTGGATCACCCATTACCCAAGATGACCTGTTCCACTCTGCCTCCAATCCCTTTGTTGGTAGAAAACCTTTTCAAAGCTCCTGCAGGATTCCCTGGCTAAGGGAGCTGGGTTTATCCTGTTTCCCTTGCTCCTGTTTTCCCTAGAGGTTCCCATAAGGAGCAGTACCTCAGGGCTGATCTGGGCCAGGTGCCAGGCTGGCTGAAATAACAGAAGTGTGCTCAGCTCTCTGTGCACCTCCCTTCTCTGCTGATCTGTTCCAGGGGGAGTGTGAGAGGGGGTTAGAGCAGCAGCCCATGATACACCTACAGCCACTTCTGAGCACGGCTGCACTCCTCTGGTCCAATTAGCACCACCAGACCCAGCTCTGAAAGCCTTTCCCAACACTCAAGTTCACACGGGTCAGCTAACCAGGTTAGGAGACTAGTCCTGCCAGGATCCTGACCTCCTTGGAGAGCCTGGATCTTCCATAGGGCAGCTCAGATCTTCCACACCTCACCTGGTGGTGCTCTGTGACATCTTCTGAAGCAGCTTTTCTCTACTGAGTATAGAGGGAGCCTTATATTCAATAATGAAGCAGATAGTTTGAGCCTTTTAATGTTCCCTTTGCCTTTTGTGCCTTTCATGTGCTGGGTATGAAATGCCCCCTGTTCTCATTCTTCTGAGAAAGAATTCATGCATTACCAGGTAGGTTCCCATCTTTCACTGTGTTTTCCCACTCTATTGCTCGTGGTGGCCTTTCCTCTGGCTTCAGAGTATGTTAGACCAGTTTTAAGTTAAATCCATTCTTTTAGGCTCACACTGAGAATCTCTCTGTGAACTGACCTTGAATTTTCCTCTCAGGTCGGCGTTGGGGATTATCTGGCTTTGCTGTGAAAAGCTCTGAGGATTGTTCTAACCAAAGAACCATCAGCAATTACTGCTTTTCACAACTGGATGGTGAAAAGCAGTGTCCTCCAAATCTGATTAAATGGAATACCTCAGTGCAATTAGGAGCCTTGCTCTACCTTCTTTGTTGGATAAGCTCCCAGAGCAGGAAGCCAGAGGCTCCCTGCTGAAGGGATCACTGGAGCCTGGCAGGCTGCAGCTGGAAATGCCCTGAGTTTTCCTGCCTGACCTCCAGGAGGGGAACAGATCTGTTTTAGGTTCTGCATCACATCTCCCAGTCCCATGTGGGTGTCTGGGGTAGCCACTCTGGTGGTTGTAGTTGGTATGGGGGCAGTACCACAGATCTCCCTTGGTGGAATCTTACATCCTGCTCTCAGGGAGGCAAATAAATTTGGGTGCCTTAATTTAGATTGATAAGTTGTTTTTGTGGTAATTCAGTCAGCCCTATAACCAATAAACCTCTGTATCCACACCTCCCAGCAGCTGAACTAAAATGGGATTGTGTGAGGCACAGGGAGTTGTCTTCTGTAGCTTCACAAGTGGAAATCTGTGGCATGGAGATATGTGCCTTCCTGCTTTAGTGAAGGCCAACATCCTTTCTTTAGCTGTTTAATCTCTCTTTGGATGGTGGGAATGAAGAACTTTCCACATCTGTGTTGTTACTTTCATCTGTAGACAAAGGCAGTTTACCCTGTTTAAAAGCAGAATGAGAAAGTCCAGTGAAAGATGTTCCTTGAAGGACTGTGGCTCTCAGCCTTTGTAGTTGCTGTCTTCAAACAACAGCTCAGGATCAGAACTTGTGCTACGTGCTTCTGTCTGACCTTCAACCAAAACCCTCCTCTGGGTCTCCTGATTTTCCTCTTAGAAAGTGAGGAAATTTTTGCTTGCATTAAAAGGTGCAGAATTGCAGAGGCACAGTTGCTGCACAGTGGACACTTGGGTCTTGCTGACATGGCCTGGTGTGCTGGAGACCTGGGAAGGAGCTCATGTGGATGGATGTGGATATGGAAACATGCACCAGCTCTGGAAGAGGCACCACCAGGCCACTGCAGAGACTCCTTTTATTTGAAAACCCCTCGTGTGCTGTTTTTGTGCAGTGCAGTGGGATGGGTGGCTGCCTTGGCTCTGCCTGGGGAGTGTTCTATGACAGCTTCCATGGTGTATTCTCCTGGGCTTTCCCACAGCCCTCAAAAATAAAACATGATAACTTACTTCCTTGATATATCTGAGAGCTCCCAGTTCTCAGACTCCCTTGGGCTTTCCACTTCCAGGCATTTCTGCTTTGAAGAGTCTTGCAGGAACATGTTTCAGAGGCCTTTGTTATGCAAAGCTCTTACTCCTGAAACAACATTGCTTTGTAGGATGTGTTTTGTTTGTGGGATATATTTATTTGCTAGTCTGTGCCATATTTTGATCTGGGGTCTGGTTTTAAAGTGTTCACAGAGTACTCTGGGCAGGCCATCCTCTGCTTCGTTCCAGCCCCTTATTCCATAGCTCTGGCTGACAGGATACTTCTGAAAGCAGAAGCTGAACCAGGACCTGCTCTTGATTTTAAGGAATTGAAGGCACAGCTAAATAATAGTTTATGAGAGTTAAATAATGCAGTGCCTAACCAGGGTTTACATTTGAGTGTCTCCCTCTCAACTGGGTGAAGAAAGTGGGGGAATTTGGGTTGTCTCATGGCAGGCTGAACATCTTGAGTTGTCACAGAGTCAGGGTCTGAAGCAGGCAAAGGATGTGAACATCTCAAAACTCCTGCTTTTTGTGCTGACGATCTTCTGGAATCACGGAATTACTTAAGTTGGAAAAGCTCTTTAAGAACATTAATCCCACCCATTCCCCCAGCACTGCCAAGGCCACCACTGACACGTCTCCACGTGCCACATCCCCATGGCTTTTAAATCCCTCCAGGAGTGGTGACTCCCACCACTGTCCTGGCAGCTCTGCCAGGGCTGGACAACCCTTTCCTTGAAGAATCATAGAATGGTTTGGGTTGGAAGAGACCTTTATGATCATCCAGTTCCAGTCCCCTTGCTGTTGAAGATTTAGACTCAGCTCAAGGTTCAGGTAGCTGAACCTTGCTTGGGTATGTGATGTTACCTCAAGGGTGGATCTTGCCTTCTGCAGAGGGAATTTCTCTTCACTGGAATTCTCCATGTCCCCCTGTTCCACTCCTGCCATGCCAGATACAATCATGGGACTCCAACAAAAGCAGTGACACTGGGATGGTGCAAAACTAGCAAGAGAATCTCCAAAGTGTGACTCTCCCTGCTTGTACCTGAGGCTCTTGTGCCACCAGCTGGTGGGCTGCAGTCCTGGATCCCATGTTCTCCAAGGTCTTTGGGATGGGGACAGTGGCTGGTCACCCTGTCCTGGGTGCATTGTTCTCCTCTAGGTCCTACATCCTCTTAGCTGTGGAAATCCTACGGTGATCTACAAATCCTGCTTCCAGCCTCAAAAGTCTTCTTTCCATGCCTTGTGCATTAAATAAATAGAGTCTCCTGGATTTTTCCTTCATTTGGGGGACAATGGTATGGGAAGCTGTTGGAATGAGTTAATGCAGGTTTTGAGGACTTCCTGACAGGTTTTTCAATGCCCCCACATAAGGAAGATTTGCCTTCTTTGGAGGCACATCTCTCTCACAAGGCTACCTAAACATCCAATTCAGACTAGGCACTCAATTTAATACCTAAATTTTGGTGAGATCTATCACATGCTTGATTACCACCAGGCTCCCCACTGCAAATGAGACCAGAAGATGCTTTGTATTTCCAAACCAGGCTGTGTCCAAGGTTCCCTGAAGCTCCCCAGTGTTCCAGGAACCTAAACATTTTAATGCTCCTTTCCAAAACAAATCAGAGAATCATTTAAGTAGAAAAAGACCTCCAAGGTCATGGGTCCAACCTGTGACCAGTTCCTCACCTTATCAAGCAGACCAGGGCGCTTAGTGCTTCATCCAGTTGCTCCTTGGACAGCTCCAGGTGTTGTTCCTTGGACACCACCCAGGTGGAATTCCCCCAACACCCTGGAAAATGGAAGAGCTGAGATGAAAAGGGAGGCAGTTTCTGTTACATAAATTGTTAAAACTCAGTGATGGAAGAGAGATCTGCTTTGGGGGCTCTGCTGGGATGGATGTTGAATAAAGTGGAATCTCTGTCACCCACACCTTGCTCAGGCACTGCCCTCTTCCCTCTTGGACACAGTCTGACTTTTTTTCCTTCCGCTTTCCACCCAGGGAATCCAAACATTCCGAAACCTCGCCGGATCCTGCGGTCCTCCTGGGGCAGCAATCCCCACTTCCGTGGATCCTACTCCTACACCCAGGTTGGGTCTAGTGGGGCCGACGTGGAGAAACTGGCGAAACCACTGCCTTATGCTGAGAGCTCCAAAACTCCTGTGAGTATGGCCCAGATGGGGCCTGGGGCAATAAAACTGATGGGACACTGGCCAGCAGCTTTTTGGGGAGGGAGGTTGAAAGAGAAAATCCCTGCTTTGGCCTCCAGCAGTGTGTTTCCCCCTTTCTATTTCCTACAAATGATGTGTGTAGGATTTTGCCTCTTTAACGTTTGGAATGGCAATGTCTCAGGGATTCCCTCATCTCTCCCTGAATTTATCAAGAGCTGCTCATGTGTGTGGCTTTTGGAATTGTGATGTTGTCATTTAATGACCATCAGCCCTATTGTCCAGTTCAGAATTCCTCAGGAAAGCATGTGCTAATCTGTTTTAAAGATTATTATTATTATTATTATTATTATTATTATTACTCTGCTAATGTCTAGGTCTGAATGTGTTAGGGGTGCATATTAGGAAATCTTTCTGTGCTGGCAGTGCAGGCTGAGGGAGGCCCAGTCCTTGGCAGGGGATGATGAGTTTTCTCCCCAGGCACTGCCTTGGCTTTCTGAATTTAGCAAGGAGAGCTGGAGCACACATGGAGGTGGTTACACAGCTCAGGAACAAATTAAGCCAAACTCACCCCATCACTCAGGGTTATGTGTCCGAATCCAAAGGCTGATGAAAATGCAGCATTCAAGCAGCTGCCCAGTCCATTTCCTCTACCACTGCCTGGCCCCAGCAGAAATTATTTTATTCAGTGCAGAAATCTACTTAAGAAAACCCAGTAGGAGCTTTAGGAAGCTTTCTGTGTAGTTCCCAGGGAAAACCTCCCAGAAATTCCTGCCTCAAATCCGAGCTGCAGTTCTAGCAAGCACCTCACTCTTGGTCTAAGAGATACAATGCTGTGTCTCACCCTCTGGGTATTGAGACATGGCTGTTACTCTTCTGAAGCTGCTGTCCAGAAGAAAAATTCCCTTAATGCCGAAAAGGCTGAAATGTAATTTAGGGGAGCAAAGGGAGGAGATGGTACAGAGCAGGTGCTCTGTGCCTCCTGCAGGTTTGTTAAGGTTTTTTGGAACTGGCATCTTGTGGTGCCTCTCGTGGGGGGTTTTGAGAACCAGCCCACCAAAACAGATGAAAAGCCCTGGATCCCTGGAAGTGCTCCAGGCCAGGTTGGAGAGGCTTGGAGCAACCTGGGATAGAGGAAGAACTGGATGATCTTTCAGGTCCCTTCCAACGCAAACCGTGCTGTGTGGGAGGGCACAGAAAGTTTGTCTCCTTTTATCCTCCCAGCTGCTCCCCAGTGAGCTGTGCTGATCTGTGCCCCTTGTGCTGTGCCCTGCAGCCCATGCAGGTGATGTTTTCAGGGGAGGCCACTCACAGGAAGTATTACTCCACGACCCACGGTGCTGTGCTCTCGGGGCAGAGGGAGGCTGCTCGGCTCATCGAGATGTACCAGGACCTGCTGCAGTGCCCGACCTGAGGGAGCCCTGCCTGACCACCACCACCTCCCAAATCCTCCTGCAGGTGTGTGGAGGGGGTTCTGTTTTATTTCAGTTCGCAGTAGAACAGCCTTTTATCTTTTCTATTAAAAAAAATTTAAAAATAAAAACCTCTGATTGTTAAAAATGTTAGTCATCAATAGCTTCATTTCCATGTGCTGTATTGTTAACAGGGAAGGGTGCTCCTTTTTGGTCTGGTAAACTGATTCTCTGTCATTTTAATTCTAATTTCACTTTTGGTGCCTATCATGTTTGTTTTGTTTCTTTTTTCTTTCTGTATTGTAAGTGCCTTCTATACTAAAATAAATGTTGTAATAAAAAGACTGGGTGCTGTGATACTTCCTGGACACTTCACTTGGTAACTTCCAACTCTTTTATTCAACATTACAAAAATAGGGGTTTTTTTTCTCTTCCTATAAAATTTGGAGTAGGAGGAAAACAAGGTTGAAAATAGATCAGAAACACATTACACAAATTGTGTTTGTATGGAATAATCTCTCCAAACTGGAGATTTTCTGTGCCAGCACTACAATCCTGACCAAAGGGGTCTGGTTAGGGCAGAGCTGACAGCACTGTGGTCAGCGTGGTCACAGCCCCAAGGCTTATGGAGTGTTTGGACAAGGCTCTCAGCACAGGTGGGATTCTGGGGATGCCCTGTGCAGGGCCAGGAGTGGGATTTGATGTTTCTTTTGGGTCCCTCCCAACTCCGGGTATTCTTTTGTTGCCTTATGCTTTAATTGTGTGTCCTCCAGAGTAACAGGAGCACTCACCCCACCCAAGCAGCCCCTGGACTGTGCAGATGTGTGTCACTAACTCCAGATGTTAGTGACTCCCAAGGTTTTGTCTGCATCATGTGGAAATGGCCATCAGGAATGAGAAAAAAACTTGTTTTTTTTTTAAACTCCCTCAGAAAGATAAATCATGTGCTTCTTTAAAGACAAGTGAACACAATGTAGCCATCAGCACAGTTTAAAGATATCTAAACAGTTTCCAAAAATAAAAGTTTTCAGGGTGAAGACCACGGGCGTTTAGCCACTGCCTTATCTCCCTGCATTCCATTTCTCCATCTGGCTGGCTGCTGGCCAGAGCTGCCTGTGAGGAGTGAGGGATGCGTCTGCTTTGGCATCTGCTGCCCCATGTGAAGCCTCCCTTCCCTCTCTGCGTGTGTGGGGTGGGAGTTGTGTTGATAAATGAGTTACAGGGCGGGGGGGAAAGGGACAGAGAGAGGGAAAAATCCCCCTCCAGAGGGTGAGTCAGTGCATCCCAAGATAAATGTCTGCAGAGGAGGCACCAGCTCTGTCTGGTTCTCTCCAAGCTCAGCTGAGCTCTGCTGATTCCCTGCTGTAGTGTGGAGTGGGATGCCTTCCTGGCTGCTGGAGAGCTGGGAAGGATGGTGGTATGTTGAATTTATTGCGTTTTTCTCCCATTTTATCTCTTTTCATGCTGTTACTGAGTTGAGAAGGAGTTGGGCTGCAATAGGTGGGTGCAGCACACTTGACTGAAGAGAGATAAAAACTCTGTCCAGCTTCAGTCCCTCAGAGCTCAGGCTCAGGAACCAGAGCTGATTCCTAGCAGCCAGATCTGTTGCAAAGTGGAATCTGAGGAGAAAACCAAAATCCTTTGGGTGTATGAGGCTATGGCACAGGAAGAAACAAAGAGTTAGTTGCTTTTTCTCTTCAGTGAAGAAATTTAGGAAGAAATTCTCAGTGGAAGGGTGGTCAGACCCTGGAAGGCGCTGCCCAGGGAGGTGGTGGAATCCCCAAGGAACACTCAGTGCCCTGGGCTGGGTGACAAGGTGAGGATCAGTCAAAGGCTGGACTTGATGACCTGGGATGTCTTTTCCAACCTAAATGAATCTGTGATTCCTGTGGCTTTATCACAGGACATCCAAGGAAAGCTGCTGTGCTGGTGGCCAGAGTTTGAGAGCTCCTTTTTCTGCTCTGTGCAGACAGAATGATGATGGTGTCTGGCTTTGCTGAGCAGGGATCTGGGTCAGGCCAATCCCCCTCACTCCTCTGCTGCCATCACTCACCAGCAATCCAGCCTTTAAAATGATGCTCGTGTTCCAGAGACACTAAATTTAGCAGCTGTTTACTAAGAGGTGTTTAAAATTAGCAAAGGCCACGCTGAGCATGTGACAAGGAGAGGTGCTGTCACCACGGGGCTCTGTGACCCTCCACGCTGCTCCCACTTCAAGACCTGTGGCATCTTCATTCCCAGAGCTCAGTGGTGAAGGTTGGTGGAAGGCAGATGGGTGTGTTGGCAAGGTAAGAGGCACCTAATTACTCAGCACTAATTAGGGATTGCTCCTCCTGGCTGGCTGTGTGGGGAGGGCAGCAGGTGGGAGCAACCAGAGGTGGGGCTCCAAACTCCCCTGGGTGATGGTGCTGGGGAGAAATGGGCATGGCTGTCCCTTTCCTGGGTGATCCAGGAAAAATCATCCACAAAATAAGAAAATTATTAAGGAAAATTTCATCATGGAAAGGGCTGTGCAGCCCTGGCACAGCTGTCCAGGGCAGTGGTGGTGTCCCTGTGCATGGAGGGATTTAAAAGCCATGTGGATGTGGCACTTGGGGACATGGTCAGTTGTGGTGTTGGCAGTGCTGGGAGGAATGGTTGAACTCAATGGTCTCAGAATTTCCCAGCCTAAACAATTCTGTGGTTCTGCTCCTTTAACTCCCTGGCAAGAAACACTTTAAAAAAGAGGTTTTTCTACAAAAGCTGAAGTGGATGCTCAGAGCCCCGATTGCACCAGGGGAGTGGTGGAGTGGTGGAATTACGGGGCAGGTCCTGGCTTCTGTCTTCACACCCCTCCTTGCCCAAATCCGTGGTGAGCAGAGACCCCCTTCAGTGTCACCGTGTGGCCAATGCCAGAATCACGGAATTAAGGTTGGAAAAGAGCTCTAAGCTCTCATCCAGCCTGGTTGGTGGCATGAAGTGACCTGTGGTTGTCCATGCACAGAGGGGACCAGCACATTTAAGGCCTCCAGCAGGATTTTTTGGCACAGGGCTGTGGATATTTGCAGGGTTTAGCCTTTTCCCTCTGTCAGGAGTGTCCTAGGATCCATACTGGGCTCTGAACTGTGCAAGTGGGCACCAGCCAGGTTGTTCCAGGGGATTCTGATGGTAAAATAGAGTAAAGGATGAGGCTTAGTGCCCAGGGAATTCCCCTGGTGCTGATTTATTTGCAAACAGACCCAGAGCAGAAAAGGAGACTGGGAGCCACTGGGAGACCCTGAGACAAACTCAATTACGGGGCTTCTGTCTTTACACCCCTCCTTGCCCAAATCCGTGGTGAGCAGAGACCCCCTTCAGTGTCACCGTGTGGCCAATGCCAGAATCACGGAATTAAGGTTGGAAAAGAGCTCTAAGCTCTCATCCAGCCTGGTTGGTGGCATGAAGTGACCTGTGGTTGTCCATGCACAGAGGGGACCAGCACATTTAAGGCCTCCAGCAGGATTTTTTGGCACAGGGCTGTGGATATTTGCAGGGTTTAGCCCTTTCCCTCTGACAGGAGTGTCCCAGGATCCCAGGTGCAAGTGGGCACCAGCCAGGTTGTTCCAGGGGATTCTGATGGTAAAATAGAGTAAAGGATGAGGCTTAGTGCCCAGGGAATTCCCCTGGTGCTGATTTATTTGCAAACAGACCCAGAGCAGAAAAGGAGACTGGGAGCCACTGGGAGACCCTGAGACAAACTCAGTGGAACAGCAGTGTCGGAAATGAGTGGATGCTGGAACTGTAGGTGGTAAAAGGGATGGAAAAGCTGGGTTCTGGCTCTGCACTTGGTAAGGGTTGGATATTTTCTCCTCCTGGAGTGATCCCTGAGGTGAGAGCACTGAGTTCTGCCTGGTGCAGGGTCTGGAGCAGCCTCTGCAAGCTGAGCTCACCCCGGGAAAGGCGATTTTGTGCTGCCATCTCGTGGCATTAAAATATTCTCTAGAAACAGTAAGAATTGGACTATTCCCAGGAAATACCTGCAAAGTGACACACGAGGATGTGAGGGAAGAGCAGTGGGAGCCCAGAGGGGTGAGCACAGATAAGATCCTTTATCAGTGGGTTCTGTTTCCATTCCTGGAGTGCCTGAGATATCCCTGCAGGGCTGGCAGGAGCTGTGGAAGGTGGATGGAAGAAGCTGGATGATCTCCCAGCTCTCAGAGCCCACGTGTGTGAGGTTTTGGCCACCCTGCAGCCCCCCCGGGACAGGCAGTGCCCAGGGCTTGGTGTCTGGCTGGCTCAGGAGCCTCCCATCCCCCAGGGAATTCGGGAGTGCCTTTGGAGAAATAACTGATTAATCAGGTCCTGTGTGAGATCCATCCATCCACGTGGTGGGTATGGAGGATTTCTCTGAGTTTCAGGGATGTTTCTCAGAGAATCATGGAATGTTTTGGGTTGGGAGGGACCTTAAGGCTCATCTTGGTCCACCCCCTGCCATGGGCAGGGACACCTTCTGTTGGGACCCTGGATGCTGAGAATTCCAGACTTTCTGTGCTGCCAGGCCCTGACCCCCAGGAGAACACTGCACTGACCTGAGGCCGTGGAGAAGGCTTCCAAAATGGAATGATAGAGCTGGGATTGTGGGTGTGGAGTTTGATTAGAAGTGTGTAATATCACATGGTGGAAAACTTAGAGTTTAATGTTTTAGAATATAGTGATACATACAAAACAAGGTGGGGGTTTTAGGGTGGAGGCTGCTCCTTCTTCTTCACCTTCTTCTTCCCTTCTTCACCTTCTTCTCCATGAATTTCAGTGGTTTTGTGTAATTGGATAAAAAAGTCCCCATTGCAGGCACAGGTGGTCGGTTATTGGGTTAAAAGTAAAAATAATTTAGGTGTCATTTCTTAATTGGACAGTTTATCCTTAAAAGACCTTGGAGAGAGAGAGATGGGGCTCCATTTTTAGTTTTTTAGAGTGAAGTGCTGCAGAACTCATGGTTTGTGAGACTGTGACATAGATAAGAACTAACAACATCTGAGTGCCAATAAGAAATATCATCTCATACATTTAATCCCAACTCTGGCATGAAAGAAAACTTGACAGCCTTCCACTGGACAAACCACAAGGGGTGAGAAACTGGTGTGAAACTTCTCCTAACAAAGGGCTCTGATAGCAGCTACAACCTGATCCACAGCAAAACCCCCTCCAAAATCCTTTTGTGAAGCACAGGGAGAGATTTCCCAACCCCAGGGAAATCCTGGTGGGTTCACAGCAGGTGGTTTGCTGTGAGTGCCTGTAAGACGAGTGACACGAGTGGGAAAACAGAAAAAAAAATAGAAAGAAAAAGAGAATTATGCCTGGAGAAGGAGGAGCAGTGTCTCTTTTCT